CGCGCGAGAACGACCAAGATGCGCCGCCTCCGGGAGGAGAGAGACAAGCGGAGCTGGAAGCGCAGCTTGTACAACTACGCTGTGAGATTGCAGCTCTCCAAGCAAACAATCAAGCGCGACGCCAGCAGCCGACGGAGTCCAGGCGTCGCGTTCAGTGAAAATGTTATTAGTGTCGTAACTCGCAATATTCAGATATCTAGAGTATGTCTGTGATTGCTGGTTGGTATACAAGTAGAGCACGGGCTGGTGGCATCTGTGCCTAGCAAACTCAGAATGGAAGTAACGGGTGATTTTCTCGACATTATTTCCAGAAGGAGCACGTTGCCGCAACAGTTGCGGTGACCGCATATGTTAACAATGAGGACTACAATACTTATCACCGAGAGCTGGCAATAACAGTAATGACTATCACTATGCCTATGCCTCTGAGTTGAAACAATAAACCAGCGACCAAGCAACGAGTTAATATATTGTTGGGCGAAGACCCATTATGGTTGGCTTGCATGCATGTTTTCCGTGACTCTGACTTTAATTGCATGGCTCTGCCCATCCTATCGCTTTTGCTTTCCTTTTGAGCTATGACATTGATGCGATTCCCTAACGTTCATCGATGTGGCTAGCGTGGTTACATCAAAACCGGAGTCGGACATGCAAGTAACAGCAGCGTTGGTGGTCCGCTCCCACAGGAGAGCGGATTTTTTTAATGATATTTTCGGAAATTTTTTATGACGTACCATTTCAGCTGCTTTTTATGGTATTGCGGATGTTTTCTATGACCAAAGGATTAATTGTATGTTAAACTTGAACAGGTTACTGATTTTTGACATGCAAGGTTTTTCTAGTATATATATATAGGGAATTATATGTATCTGTTTTTCTAAAGTAATACGCATCATATAACAAGGTCGCTGCTGCTATGGCTGCATACCCATAGAATTCTTCCAGTGCTGTCTCTTCGTCATCTTCTGACACGGCGACGAGACCACTGCGACATCGCTTCTGATCGGCCTCCCCACTTAGGGCAGATTCCTCGTCTTCACGATCACGGCGCTTCCCAGTGATAATTGGTGGCGGGGTCCACGTCTCGTCCTCACTGCCTGTGCACGTTTGATGGTCGTCTTCTACGCCTTCGAGCTCGTTGTCGCCTAGTTCAGCGTTCGCTTTTGGCTCTTCGTCGGATACTTCGACGGCAGCCTCTTCTTCTCCACTGTCAGAGGGTTCTTCGGTGTTCGCAGGATCTGGAATCTCCACTTCGTTTTCCTGCTCGTCCTGATTGTCCGAGTGCTCGCTCAATGCAAAATCACCATCTTCATCTGCTTCTCCCGCATCAAACTCATCATCACCATTGCTGTGTATCTCGTCCGCTTCACTGACTTCAGCCTAAAGCTCCTTGTGGTAATTTTAATTAGTGAGACCATCCGTTTATTCCTAGGTTTAAATCAGTTCTATTTTACTGGTACGTGTTGGCGATCGAAAGTTTGAGCTACCGGTCACATCTTGTTGGTCGGTGATCGCTGTGTTCCGTAAATCGATTGATGACAGAGGTCAAGTAATGTATTTGAATTAACTTGTAGCTCCGTACGCGCATTAGCGATGCAGATCATTCTAGCGGTTGTAAAGCGAGGGGTTTTTCAGGTACTGTTCGTAACGATATCCATACTTCACTGCTCTCGCGTGAGTACTTCAATTGTTTCCTTGCAATCTTGTAGACGTCGTACTCTATCAAATCGTCGGCCTTGTAACCCGCAAACGTAGTCGCCAGCTTTTTTATCTTGCTCTCCTCGTCAGCAGACATTGATAAGAAGTTCTTCAACTGTGTCCAGGTTTTGCCTCTTTCTTCTGTAGAGTAGTCGAGATCATGCCTTGGGGTATCGGATCGTAGATTTCGGTTTTCGTTAAGGCCGCCTTTCTGGACTGCATCAAGCGACTGGAGCAATCTTGTTGACTGTGACTCGTCCACGGTGGACGAAGCGGATCCCGATGCAAGAAGAGTGAGAGCCAAAGTAGCTCGAAGAATGTCGGTAATACGCATTCTATTAGAGGAAAGCTGGGCTCTCCTCAAAGAAAAATGAATAATGGTACCAAAGAGACGCTGGGAAGCCAGGATAAACAGTTTATTACGATGAGATGCTTCACTGTTTCCATATGTCCAATCATAA